CTCAGCTTTGCAGGCTGCTTCCAGATCGATTAGGGAAAGTGCTAAAATTTCTTTAGGATTCAAAAGAAAACTACCAGGGACGTGGAGTGCTCTCAGTCAATTCTCTCAACAGCTCTGAAGTAGGCGCCACTCTTTCCATTTCACGGGCACAAGGTGGCTAACCAACACCCTCAAAGTCACGTAGCTGGTCAGGGATGGTGCGTGGTTCCTGAGGGCCATGCTTGAGTCTCATTTGCAGGCTGAGGCAGGCACAGCAGTGTGCTCCCAGAGCCCCTGTGAAAGCAGGATGCTCTAGGCAGTACTGTCTCGTTTCCCTCACACTTCTGCTGCTCCTAGTAGGGCTCACATCTTTATAATCTGATGAGCACAATCCTAAGTGGAATAGGGAGAGAAAGTTGGGTACAGTCATGTGCCACATAATGACATTTTGGTCAACGACGGACCACATATATGACTGTGGTCCCATAAGATTAGTACCATATAGCCTAGGTGTGGAGTAGGCTGTACCCTCTAGGTTTCTGTAAGTATACTCTATGATGTTCACACGACGACAAAATCGCCTAACAGTGCATTTCTCAGACTGTATCCCTGTCGTTAAGTGACGCACGACTGTACTTTTGGAGGTGTTGTTTCTGTTTTGCTGTACCTCTGAGAGAATACCTAGCTTTCTATAAGAGTTTCAACATGAAGATGTATAGGTAGTTCTTCAGACATCAAATTGGCCCCTTGAACTGAACGTGTTCAATTAATATGAGAATAATTACAGAAACAGTGGTAAGTTTCCCAGGTGTGGAAATGGTTTCTTTTGATTACTCAAATATGCAATAAAACTCTGCATTAAAACAGGAATTCAATCTTGAAACTAGTAAAGCTTCATAAGTGAATTTCTTTTGCAGACGAAAGGCTGAGAGAATAAAAGAATATGTTGGTAATTCACCATTTTGTGTATTTTAAGTTTACAGTTTTATATTAGTCCTGGAAAAGAAGGCACAATAGTTTTCAACACTGGAGCAGAAGAACAAATCTATAAAGACAAAAATGGACAGCTAACAGTGGTAAGTGGCTGGGTCTGGGGAGGGAGGTAAGTTGTAGATGAGAATATAGATTAAAATTCTACCAATTTTAGTCTTTCTGTTGATTGACTGGAATCATAACCTAGTTTATTTCTCCCTCTATTCCTGATTCTACATCTAAAAAACAGGAAAGAATTGATACTAGAGGCATAGATTCAAACACTGAATGAAAAGGGGAAAAAAGCAAGTTTACCTACCATATTTCATTGTCAGTGACTGTAAATACTTCTCAGCTTTAAATGTTGAAGCCCAACTTGTTACTGGATGGCAAAGGCCTTATGCCTTACATGTCAGTGGTTCTCAAGCTCGTCTCCGCGTTGGAATCTCCAGGCGAGCTTCCAAAGTACCAGTGCTGGTGTCTCAGCCCCAGACACTGTGATGTAACTGGCGGGGGTGGGGCCTGAACTTTGGAATATAAGCCACCTCAGGTCTGAGGGGCAGAGAGGTTTGGGAACCACTGTGTCTTACGAAGAGCCTGAGCCCTCAGTGGTTTGCCCTCCCTGCTGTCCCGACAGCCCTCACTGGCAAGTAGTACACAGAGCTTACCTTCATCTAATTTTGCTGGGAAATATTAAAAGCCAAGGGCTGAATCTTTAAGATGTATTTTGTATATATACTGAGTATTCATTATTTGATAACAAACTAATTAGAAAATAGTCTACCAACATGGAATGTCTCCAACACATTTCAATTTATATGCATTTAACTATGAAATTGTTTTGTGGATATAAGTAGTACACAAATGTCTTTTATAACATAATTGCCCCTAAACACAATTACCTCCTTCACGGACAAGTTAAAATATTTAAGCATCATTTTGAATGTAAACTATAAGGTGATTTTTCAGTTTCTATGTTGTCTGAAAACTCACACACCTAAGATTCTCTCTCTTTTGGAATTACACAGGCTCTCTCCCTGCCTGACCAGCTCAGGCTGAAGATGCTCACAGGCCTCAGTGAGCCCATTTCTAAATGTGGCTCGTCTTGTGGGAGGTGGGGCAGGAGATGGTGTGGGTGGTGGGGCTGGCTTCTCGCAGCTTGTCCACACCCTCCACGATGCTGACAGTGGGGTGATAACTGTCCTCACGAGTGAGGCAAGGTGAGACGTGGCCTCTAACCCTAAGCGTGGCCTCTGTCCCAGGTGTCGGTCCGCAAGAAGTCCTGATAGAGGATGACGCCTGACCTCTCCCATCGCCGTTTTTTCTCCGGCTGAGCAAAGTACCCAGGAAGTGGGAATTTGATCCAGTTAGCTACACCTTCAAGGAAAGGTCACAGCGGCTCTAGAACAGGGTCACATCTGAAGAAACGGAGTGGCATCTATGCCAAAGCCCAACCCCAGCTTCTCAGGTGCCCTGTGGCACTCAATTAAAATGTCCTCTTCAGGGAGCCAACCTCAAGTCACCCAAAGGGGTGGTTTTAAACGTCCCCCAAAGGACCTACACTCCAGGGGTACTTGAACGTGTCAGCACAGGGTGGGCAACAGGGTCTCTACCCTCATCAAGCTGCCCCCGAGGCACAGTGAGGTATGGTCTTGAGAGTGAGTAAATGAAATTTCATAAAGCTGCAAAATTTGAATTTTGCGCTAAATAGAACTTAGAAATATACCCAATTCCTTGGCATTTCTGAAGGGCTCTTTAGGTCCAGATGGTGAGCTGTATCTCCCATCGTCTCTCCAGTGTTAAATTGACGGCAACAGTAGTTCATTCATTCTGCTTTCTCAAAGCCCGGCAGCATTCCCACCCAAGGCTTCCTTTCAGTGTTCAAACTCAAACGCTACAGAGAAATGACTCCTCTTTCCCAGCCCAAGCAACTTTAAGGTGACAAAGTAGAATGTAGGATCTCTGCCTTGCTCTCTTTGCTATAAACTGCACTTCAGTTCAGTGGCTTGATTGTGCTGGGCGTTTCTGAAAAGACTCAGAAAACAGATAGAAACGAAAGGATTATATAACCTTTATTTTACATTTGTCCACAAACGCTGGTACAACAGACAGTGACTACTTCTAAAACTTGTAGCATTTTTTTCATAGCACAGAGAGACAGAAAGGTTAGGGACACAGAGCTGTGTTACGGTGACTCAGGCGAGCCCTAAAGATAGCACGCCTGCCAGAGGGAGGGCTGAGTGTTGGTCACGCTTCTGTCTGAAAGCTGCTGTCAGGTACAGGTGAGCACTCCTAACCAGAGGGCGGGGGTGCCTGCACAGCGATGAACCCGCTGATCCACCGCACAAGGCACCGGAAGAGGCTGTGCCAGGAAGTGCCTCAGGCACAGGCCCCCAGGCACCAAAATCCGACGACTTATTTGAAAAAAACTGAACTCAATTCCAAGGGACCAAAAGCTGTTCCACTTTTTTAAAAATTGTAAGCTATTCTGATATAATAAACTTAACGCTTTACCAAATCTTAGGCCAGTGTTTTACTTGGATGGTTCTGAAATATAAATATTGACTTTCATTTGCCCTTAGTGCTAACATAAGAAAAATCAGTTCTTTGTAGAATATATTGGCTAACAGAGCTTGGCCCAGCCACCACCCTGTCAGCTCATGGCTATTTGCAGTAACAGTCGTATTCACCATGGAATGTCTTATGAATCTGTTCATATCCCAGGGAAGCTAAGACTCAAAACTACAAATGCAAAGTTGGAGGAAAAGTGAAAGTAGAGAAACTGCCAGAAACATTAGGTCATAAAGTGTAGAAGCCCAAACAAATCGTTCCACAAACTTACTTTTCACGTAAACATTTAAAAAACAGTATTTATATGATGGCTTTTCCATTCCTACAGAAAACATCAGAACTGACATTCACTTTAACTTTCTAACAAAGTTCAACCCAAATGGCAGGGTTGGTGTTTACAACTTAAACAGTATAAAATATTTACGAGACATTATTTTCAAGCCCCCCCTTTGCTTAGCACTTAACAAAATCCAAACGGCCTAACGTGAAAGTTTCCCACACGACAGTTTAAACAGCAGCTACCCCATACATGATTTTTAGGTTCCGCCTTGATTGTTTTAACATTTTATTGTGGGCTTTGCTGCTGGATACAAAAGAAAGGCAGACACTGTCACAAGTAGGGCAGTACGTACAAAGTCCAAGCTGTAAAAACCATTTCAAAATATAAACGCGTTTTTTGAAATACACTGTGTCAAAGGCTGCCCACATGAATACCTTTGGTATAAAACGGTAACATTTCCCTTGAAAACAACAGACAAAACCCATCCATTACCTTCCACACATTCGCATCTCCTTGTAACTACTCTACCTAGTCTAGTCTCAACCACCATATCAGTCACAACGCACTTCTGTCCCTTCCGGGCGCAGAGGAGACTGGGAGGTAGGTAACCGAGCACATCCATCCTACACGAGCGCCGTGCAGACAGCCGGGCTCCAGTGCGGGCCACCTGTGCCCCACAAGCACACATCCCCGTCAACAGTCACACACGTCCCTTTAACAAACGAACACAGACACTAAGCAGACCCAAGAGGACCTGCACATCCTCTCTGCTCGCTGATGGCCACTCCGTACTGTGTAAAAACCAGAGGCAAAGATGTGAAGGGCAAAGACTCCAGGTGAGGGCTGCCCTGAGACAGGCAAGCTGCCCTGGGGCTGCTGGTGTGAGGAGTGTTCCTGCCTGGATGTCAGGTTTAGGACAGAGAATCTGGGGCCACATTTAAGTTCTGAGCAAAGGGCAGGGCATCCACCTGCGGCAGCAAGCCCAGCTTAACAGGGAAGGAGGCTGAGGAGGAAGGAATGGATCCCACGGAGCAGCGGGTTGTGAGTTACGCCTCTTACCAGGCCAGATGGCCTCCCTGGAATGGAGTGGGACAGCAAGGAGGGCAGGGGAAGGGGCAGGAGTCAGGGAAGGGGCCCTGAACAGAGCTGAGAACTTGCTGCCTGGGACAGCTCCGCCCTTGGCCAGACATGTGAGGTCCCAACAGGCACCAGACCACAGGGCCGCCAAGGCCCCTTAAACAGAGCTAGGCATCCAGAGCTACGCTAGGAACAACTGAAGGCACGAAGCTCAGCAGGTCCCATCTCCACTGCTACAAGCTGCAATTATTTACCAATAAGCTATAGGTGCAAAATCCTGTTGCAGAATGGACTTCTGGCAAGCTGTGGGGACCGTGCCCCGTCTGGTGTACAGGAAGCGGGTGCCGTGTACTGGGCTGGAGGGATATGAAATAGGGAGCTCGCAGACACCTCTGGTGGCCACCAACTGCAGCATCCCTCCTGGAGCTGTCGAAATGAACCCCAAAGGGAATACCACCCAAGAAGCTCAAATAGCTAGTCAACACCCACAAAAATAAATATTGCAAATCAAAGTTCTCACGTACACTTCATATCCATTCATACTTTTCCTCTGAGAACCAGGAAAGCCTGGCTCCAAGGATTCTTACGGAAAGTAGAGACCTTGGACATGTTCAACAATGGGGGTGCGTTCACCTGGGTCAAGACAATCAATCACCTTATTGAGAAATATCAAAATAATAATCTGGCTTGTTACAAAAGTATCTCCAGACTCCGGGGGAAGTGGAAGGTGCCCGGAAGCCTGAACACGATCTGAGTGTACAGCAGGGAGGAGGAGGGGGAGGGTGGGCGGCTCGGGTCTGCCTGCCTGCTCACTGGTGGAGGTGGGCCCGGTCGTCTGGGCGCTTGATGTGGATCCGCCGCACGCGCTCGATCCGCTCCCGTTCCCGCTCCTCATCCTCGTCCAGGTGGTGGGAGCGCCCGGCTGCCCCACCCGTGGCCTCCAGGAGGGCATTGTCAGGTCCCCGGCCATCTTGGGCCTCATACAGCAAAATATTCAGGGTTTCCTCATAAATCCGGGCTTCAGGGAACTCCACCTACGTCCCCACAAAATACAGGGCAGGTAAGTTAGCATCACACACACACTCCACCACCTCTGCCACCACCTAGTACTTCCGAGCAGGGCCATCCCGCTAAATCAGGCCCATTTAAGGCTGTCATTGTTATTTTTAAAGTAGTTGTTATTTTCAATAAGCAACGCTTACATATGGTGCTCAAGTCACAAGAGACAAAAGTGATACAGTCAAATGGGGACGAGAACGCTTCTTGTTATCTTGCCCTCTCTGAGGGATCCCATGCATATAAATATACATATATATTCAGACACTTTAAAACACAAAAGGTGGCCCACCACACAGACTCTTCTGCACCTTCCTCTTCTCCCAACTTAACTTGGAGATCATTCCACATCAGGGAATGATAAAGAATGTGACAATGCAATTAACCAGTTCATGCTGATGGACGTCTGGGTCATTTCCAATATGCTGCTACTAACAAACAAAGCTTGCACATGAGCCATCCACCCCTCAAAGCAGTCTCTAAAGCAGGCTTCTTTTGAACAGGGATCAACTGGGGGCCCTCAGGAAATGGACATGATGGCTCCTGGTTGGTAAAGCGCAGTGTTTGGTTGCTGCTCTTCGGGGTTAAGGTGCCATGAACAAGAGGAGGGCTGCACAAGTCAGTCCCAGGCACTTGACTCCCCGTGTAGAGACTCTGCTTTCAAGGGCAGGATTCTGAGATTCTGGTTCTGGAGACACGGAGTGGGCACACCTCACCCCGTCTTCCCCACTGAGGCTACAGAACCAGGAGAGAGTGTACACAGCAGCTACTGAGGACTCTGAGATGGAAAGAGTTGCAGGCGGATTGGGAGGAAAGACTAGAATTTGCAGAAATGCCAAACCAGCAGCGAGTTTACTGTTTTTCCCCCACCAGTATCCCCCAGCCTGAGCTCAACACAGCCTGCAACCCTGAAACAGGCACCAGGACAGAGAGAACTCCAGGAGAAGGTCTCTGGTGGCCAGAGGAACCACTAGAGTCTCCCAACATGCAGAAAATCGGGGAAGTTCCCTGTTTTTCTTTTCTCTATTTTCTCGCACCTCAGCCCCCGAGCAATCTCGTGGCAGCAATGGCCATGGTAGCAACCAGAGCCTGCGGGAGTGAAAACTCTAAGGGAGGGAACCCTCCTTTCCGATTAGAAGAGCTGTGGTCTCAACGGGGAGCGGGCAAGGGGGAATCCCTGCTGTTGTTTTTCTCTGTCTCCATGCCGTTTGGCTCCAGATACAGGCAAAGTCACAGGAAGTGTGTGGCAGAGCAGGGTGACTGAAGTCTCAGCTTTCTGGCCAGATGACGGGAAAGGGGCTTCTTAAGGCTGTGCATGAACTCCTGGGCTCACCCCCAGCTGCTGATCTGACCCTCAACAGCATGTGTAGACTTTAAGAACTGAGCAATGGGACAGATGGCTGCCCAGGACACAGACTGGCCCACAGCGTAGCACAGGTCTGAAGGCTTTGAAAACAACTGTCAATGGAACTACAACCCACAGAAGGCTGGTTGGAACTTGTGGCCTGAACGCAACTGGGTCAATTGCCTGTTAAAAAAAAATATATCAATGTTCTCCTTAGGATTTAAACAAAAATGTCCAGGACACAATTAAAAATTTCTCGGCATATCAAGAACCAGGAAAATCGCAACTCCTGAAGTGAAAGATAATCAACAGATACCAAAGCTAAGATGACCCAGATATTGGATATCTGACAAAGACCTGAACGCTGCTATTATAAAAATGTTCCAACAAGTAAGAGCCAACACTCTTAAAGCAAATGCAAATATAGGAAGTCTTAGCAAGGAGACAGAAGATAAAAAGGAAAAAAAGAACCAAATGAAAGTTGTAGAACTGAAAATATAATATCCAAAACAACACACACACACACAAAAACCAACTCACTGGAAGGGCTCAATAACAGAATGGAGATGACAGAGGAAAGAGTCAGTGAACTTGAAGACAGATCAATAAAAGGGATTGATCTGAACAACAGAATGAAAAAAGACCAATAAAGGACAGGACTCTGTGCTTAATTATCACCTAGTCCTCAGTGAGTCAGAATGAAGAATCAAATGGACAATGTATATATTAAACATCTGTTTAAACTTTAATTTCAGCAAGTCATACCCTTTCCAACTTAACCACAAAATAATAGTTAAATGATGATGAAAAGAATTAGTATGGAGACAAACGAAAATGAAAATATGACATGCAAAAATTTATGAGATACAGCAAAAGTGGTACTAAGAGGGAAGTTTATAGCAATACAGGGCTACCTTAAGAAACAAGAAAAATCTCAAATAAAAAATCTAACAGTGCACCTAAAGGAAATAGAAAAAGAAGAACAAACAAAGTCCCAAATCAGAAGAAGGAAGGAAATAATAAAAATCAGAGCAGAAATAAATGAAATAGAGACTAAAAAAGCAATAGAAAAAAATCAACGAAACTAAGAGCTGGTTCTTTAAAAAGATAAACAAAATTGACAAATCTTTAGCTAGACTCACCAAGCAAAAAAGAAAGAAAGCTCAAATAAAATCAGAAACGAAAGAGGAGAAATTACAACGGACACCTCAGAAATACAAAAGATTATAAGAGAATACTACGAAAAGCTATATGCCAACAAATTGGATAATTTACAAGAAATGGATAAATTCTTAGAATCATATAACCTGCCAAAACTGAATCAAGAGGAAGTAGAGAATTTGAATAGACCAATCACCAGTAAGGAGATCGAAACAGTAATCACAAACCTCCCAAAAATAGAAGTCCAGGACTAGAAACCTTCCCCGGTGAATTCTACCACACATTCAGAGAAGACTTAATACCTATCCTTCTCAAACTCTTCCAAAAAATTGAAGAGGAGGGGAAACTTCCTAACTCATTCTACAAAGCCAAAATGACCCTGATACCAAAACGAGACAAGGACAACACAAAAAAAAGATAATTACAGGCCAATATCACTGATGAACATAGATGCAAAAATCCTCAAGAAAATACTAGCAAACTGAATACAACAATACATTAAAAAGATCATACACTATGATCAGGCGGGATTTATTCAAAGGATGCAGGGATGGTTCAAACATCTGCAGAATCAATGTGATACATCACATGAACAAAATGAAGAAAAATCACATGATCATCTCAATAGACACAGAGAAAGCATTTGACAAGATACAGCATCCACTTATGATAAAAACTCTGAATAAAATGGGTATAGAAGGAAAGTACCTCAACAAACTCACAGCTAATATCATCCTCAATGGTGAAAAACTGAAAGCTATCCCTTTAAGAACAGGAACCAGACAAGGATGCCCACTCTCACCACTTATTTAACATAGTACTGGAAGTCCTAGCCAGAGCAATCAGGCAAGAAAAAGAAATAAAAGGGGTTCAAATTGGAAAGGAAGAAGTAAAACTGTCACTATTTGCAGATGACATGATTTTGTATACAGAAAACCCTAAGGAATCCACCTAAAAACTTTTAGAAACAATAAATGAATACAGTAAAGTTGCAGGATACAAAATCAACATACAAACATCAGTCGCGTTTCTATACACTAACAATGAAGTAGCAGAAAGAGAAATTAAGAATACAATTCTATTTATAATCACAACAAAAAGAATAAAACACCTAGGAATAAATTTAACCAAAAAGGTAAAAGACCTGTACACTAAAAACTATAAAACATTGTTGAAAGAAATCGAAGAAGACACAAAGAAATAGATTTTCTGTGCTCTTGGATTGGAAGACTTAACATAGTTAAAATATCCACACTTTCTAAAGCAATCTACAGATTCAATGAAATCCCTATCAGAGTTCCAACAACATTTTTCACAGAAATAGAACAAAGAATCCTAAAATTTATATGGAACGACAAAAGACCCCGAAAAGCCAAAGGAGTCCTGAGAAAAAGGAACAAAGCTGGAGGTATCACACTCTCTGATTTAAAATACACTACAAAGCTCCAGTAATCAAAACAGCATGGCACTGGCACAAAAACAGACACACAGATCAATGGAATAGAATCGAAAGCCCAGAAATAAACCCACACATCTATGGACAGCTAATTTTTTTTTTTTTTTTTTTGTGAGGAAGATCAGCCCTGAGCTAACATCTGTTGCCAGTCCTCCTCGTTTTGCTGAGGAAGACTGGCCCTGGGCTAACATCGGTGCCCATCTTCCTCTGCTTTATATGTGGGACGCTGCCACTGCATGGCTTGATAAGCAGCGTGTAGGTCCACGCCCAGGATCTGAACCTGTGAACCTGGGCCGCCGAAGCAGCACGCGCAAACTTTAACTACCACACCACCAGGCTGCTCCTCAAGGACACCTTATCTTTGACAAGGGAGCCAAGACACATGGAGAAAGGAAAGTCTCTTCAGTAAATGGTGCTGGGAAACCGGACAGCCACACTCAAAAGAATGAAAGTGGACCCTTACCTTACACCATCACAAAAATTAACTCAAATGGATTAAAGACTTGAATGTAAGACCTGAAACCATAAAACTTCTAGAAGAAAACATAGGCAGTACGCTCTCTGACATCAGTTTTAGCAGCATCTTTTCAAATACCATGTCTCACCAGGCAAAGGAAACAAAAAAAAAATAAACAAATAGGACTACATCAGACTAAAAAGCTTCTGCACAGCAAGGGAAACCATCAACAAAAAGAAAACAACCTAACAATTGGGAAAAGATATTTGCAAACCACATATCTGATAAAGGGTTAATATCCAAAATACATAAAGAACTCATACAACTCAACAAAGAAACAAAAACAACCCAATTAAAAAACAGGCACAAGATATGAACAGACATTTTTCCAAAGAAGATATACAGATGTCCAACAGGCACATGAAAAGATGTTCAACATCACTATTAGAGAAATGCAAATCAAAACTACAATGAGATATCACGTCATACCCATCAGAATGGCTCTGATTAACAAGACAAGAAATAAGTGTTAGAGAGGATGTGGAGAGAAGGGAACTCTCATACACTGCTGGTGGGAGTGCAAACTGGTGCAGCCACTATGGAAAACAGTATGGAGTTCCTCAAAAAATTAAGAATAGAACTACCATATGATCCAGCTATTCCACTGCTGGGTATTTATCCAAGGAACATGAAAACACGAAAGTGTAAAGATATATGCACCCCTATGTTCACTGCAGCATTATTCACAATAGCCAAGACTTGGAAACAACCTAAGTGCCCATTAAGGGATGAATGGATAAAGAAGATGTGGTGTATATATATGCAATGGAATACTACTCAGCCATAAAAAAGGATGAAATCTTGCCATATGCACAACATGGATGGACCTTGAGGGTATTATGCTAAATGAAATAAGTCAGACAGAGAATGGCAAACACCATATGATGTCACTCATAAGTAGAAGATAAAAACAACAACAAACACAGATAGAGAAATTAGATTGGTGGTTACCAGAGGGGAAGGGAGGAGGGCAAAAGGGGTGAGAGGGCACCTGTGTGTGGTGATGGATGGTAATCAGTCTTTGGGAGGTGAACATAATGCAGTCTACACAAAACTCAAAATATAATGACGTACACCTTAATTTATATAATGTTATAAACCAATGTTACCTCAGTTAAAAAAAAAAAAAGAATTAGTAAAACACTTGGAATGTTCTGCCAAGGAAGATACCAATTATGCAAAAAACCCAAATGGAATATCTGTGCAGCTACTTGAGACAACAAAACATGGGTGTGGGCTCCGAAGCACAGCTCCAGAGGTCTGGCTTAGATGAAGGGGGAACCTGCTCTGTAGGAGCAGCCGTCCCCAACACCGACTCTCTGGAGAGCCAGTCACACGCTTCCCCTGGAGAAAGGAAGAAGGGCTTAGGGACAGGATGGCGGAACAAAGGCAGCCATGGAGAGGGGTCCTGGCCTCCCACCCTGGCTCTACACCAACCAGCTTCACAAACACAAGTGCAGGCTCGCTCTGGAACCCGGCTGCTAATCTGTAAATAAATGGTTGCGATTAGACCACCGTTAAGCTGTAAAAATGTGAAGTCAATATTTTTAAGCTTAATCAATGTGATGATTATCCTTTTAACATCCAAGGGCAGAGGTAACCCATGTATAGTGAGAAAAAAACATCTAGCCAGGACCAAGTGGGAAGTCTAGTTACAGGTGGAACTCACAGCCCTAAAAACAGTTCACAGGAGAGAGGAGGCGTGTGTCATGCAGAGGCAGCAAGAGGAGCAAACGATTCTGGTCCCCAGTTATCTAAGAAAGAACAAAGAAGCTCCGAGGTTTTCCCCTCTTGGCTATCATGAAACAATTATGTATCCTTTAGGATATATTCTGAATAGTAATGAAAAAATATATTTAAGGAAAAAAACCCACACAACTCTGGTTTCTACTTTGTGGTCTGCTTTTCTCTCATTTGCTTTTTGCTTCTGAAGCCAGAATTGTGTGCTCCTGGAGCTGGAGCTACAATGACAGTAATGACCTGAGCAGGTGATCTACAGACTTGCACACGGTGACCAGAGGCATGAAAATCTCCCTCGGCAGACCTACTGCATGTCCCTGGTAATCAGATTTCCCTTAGATGGCTTGAGAAGGAAATGATGGAGTGTACGGTATCATTTAAAAAAAAAAGGATGGGAAGCCCAGTTGCACAGGCCAAGAAGGGTAGGCAAGCAGAGGACCTAAAGGGAGGGACGTTCAGCTGAGAGATTTTTCTCACCACTGCACCTGTGGCCTGGTCTAGCCTTCCAGAACAGCACAGCGACAGAAGTCAAGGGAGAGGCCAACTCCATTGGTTTGGAGAGGATGATGTAAAAATGCATCCACAGAGTCCAGATCAGCCAGGGAGTCGTGTGCTCAGAAGAAAGCCAACAAGGTTGGGAGCTAAAGGATGCCAAGCAGGCTCGTAAGGGTAGAGGGCAGATGGCAAATAAGTAGTAGGTCGTGACCACGAGGCCAAGGCCAAGATCTTGAAGGTAGCACTGTTCCTCTGATGAGATGAGATGGGGCCATGCTGGTGGGAAACAACGTCACATGCAGCAGGGCAAGGAATGCCACAGGCAGTGTCAGATCACTGATGACAGAGGCAGCAGAGGCTGGCAGCAAGGTACACATGGGCATAAGGATACGTCTGAATCAACATTTGTGGCAAAGGAACTTAGGTGCAGTATGACCGTCTCTACTTGCTGAGTGTCAGAGAGGAAAAGCAATTCTGTTTTTCTAAGGCCTACATCTGGATCTTTCCAGGGCACAAAAGATAATGAATATTTTAACACTGATTATGCAACGCTGAGTCAAGGAAAGCATCTGTAAAGCCTTTCCCTCTTTAAGTTTATTTTGCTCAAGTAGAAAGGGAAGTTGTACAAGTATGTATTTCAGACTAGCCACTCAGAACCGTCCACTCGAAGGCCTTACCTTGGTCTGTTTCTTCTCAGTGGCATACACGATGGAGGTACAACAGACTTCAGCAATCTTGCGGCCCTGGCCGTAAAAGGACCAGCAGCAGATTTCGTCCCCAATGACATCCTTTATGAACAGGACCCTTCCGTTAAAGCGCAGAGACAGCTTATCAAACAGTTCAATGTTTTTCAACATATTGTCGTCAGAATTGCTGCAAAAGAGCATTTGATAAGGTGACCACAGCTGGCAGTAACTGCCACCGCCTGAGGAGTATTTCTACATGCTGGGCACATTATCTCCACTATCCCATTTCGACCTTACAATAATCCCAAGAGAAAGGCACTACAGTCTCCATTGCTCAAAGAAGGAAAGTAAGGGTCAGAGAAATTAGGTAATTGCCCAAGGCCAAAAACAAAAGACAGCTCTCCCCGCTCAGCCTGTGCTCCTAACCAGCGTGGCTAGGGTGCCGCTCTGTGACAGCCAGAGATGGAATGCTAAAAACACAGAGCCTGCGGGCACAGGGCACCAGGTCAGGAACGTGGAGTGGAGCCCCACTGAGCCACATGAGTGGCAGAATGGAACTGCCTAAGGGGGACTTTTTATCCTCAGTCAGTTCACAGGTCTTGAGTAAGCTCATCAAATTCCCCTACATACCTCAAGTTCTTGATTTAGAGCCACATGTTCCCAAGAGCCAAAAGGCACTCTAGAAACGCGCATATACTGCTGGGGGGAATGTAAAACGGTGCAGCCACTTTGGAAAACAGTTTGGCAGTTCCTCAATGACTAAACCTAGAGTTACCGTATGACCTAGCAATTCTACTCCTAGGTATCAACCCAGGAGAAATGAAAACATATGTCCACACAAAAACATGTACATCAATGTTCACAGAAGCATTATTCATAATAGCCAAAAAGTGGAAACAACCCAAATGTCCATCAACTAATGAATGGATAAATAAAATGTAGTCTTATCCACACAATGGAATATTATTCAGCCATAAAAAAGAACGAAGTGGTGACACATGCTACAACATGGACGAACCTTGAAAATATGATGCTAAGTGAAAGAAGCCAGCCATGAAAGGCAACATATTATAAGATTCCATTTACAGCAGTCCCCCCTTATCTACAGTTTCACCTTCTGCAGTTTTAGTAACCCATGGTCAACTGTGATCTGAAAATATTAAATGGAAAATTCCAGAAATAAACAAGTCATAAATCTGAAATTATGTGCTGTTCTGAGTAGCGATGAAATCTGACACCATCCTGCTCTGTCCTGCCTGGGACGTGAATCATCCCTTTATCCAGCATATCCACACTGTACTGTATAGGAAAAAACATAGTATATACAGGGTTCAGTACAATGCGCAGTCTCAGGCATCCACTGGGGTCTTGGAACACATCCCCCATGGATAAGGGGGGACCACTGTATATGAAATGTCCAGAGTAGGCAAATCCATAGAAAAAGAAAGCAAAACAGTGGTTGCCTAGGGCTTAGATGGGGGGGGCGGAGCTGAAGGGAAATGGGGAGTAACTGCTAATGGGTACAGGGTTTCCTTCTGGGGTGATAAAAATGTTCTAAGATTAGGTAAGTAGTGATGGCTTCACAACTCTGTAAATATACTAAAAATCACTGACCCTCAAAAAAAGACAGCTTTAGCTGTCTTCAGAATACTGAATTGTATACTGTGAAAGTGCATTTTATGATATGTGTGAATTACATCTCCAAGCTATCTATCTAATCTATCTATCTAATATAATCTAATCTATCTGGACATCCTAGAGGTACAGAAGGGCCACCCTCATCTGAAGGCAACAAGAGGGGCTGGGCCTGGCTGGTGTAAGCGGAAGTTTTCCCAGAGAGCGCAGATGTCTTCTCTGGCTGCGCCTTACCTGGTATAAGAGTATTTGTTGTTACTTCTGTTGTAGAGCAACTTCACGGCTGGCTGTGGGTTGTTTTAAAAGAGAGGAAGAGAGTTACTTGGAACGCAGAAACAATGAACCACTGGCTCCCCACAGGGCTGGGGCCCTGCCACCAGGCTATGAGGCAGACAAGCGCAGCTTGCTGGCTGGGGTGGGGCTAGAGACGGCATGACCCAATAGCCAGGGGAACACAAGATGAGCTGTGGGTTCCCATTCTTAACCCCTTCTCAGGCCTTGCTCAGGCAATTACACACGTTATTTCAAAACTTATTCAGAAGAAACTCCATCATTTCTGGTAGCAGAAAAAATGCCACAAGGGTCCCTCCGACGTACCTTATTTGAAGTCGCTATAAGTTTCTGTTCCTCCTTGGATGAGGTGATGACAGGAACTTTGCAGAAAGGCTCATAAGTATCTTTGTTCTGCTGGAACAAAACATGTTTCAGCCTAGGAGGCCTGCCAGCACTGGGTTATTTAAGCCGACCTGCTGGGCAAAGACGGGCTCTGGCAAGGGGAGATGGGGCAGCCACGCCTGGGAGGAGAGGAGGATTCTTACCACCAATGAATTAGGGGAGGACCAAGAGTCAAGTTCTCCAGGAAGTCTGCTCTCTGGCCAGGGCTGTTACACGCCAGGGTGCTCAGTAAACACTAACAATGATGACACATTTCCACAGCTAGGAAGCCACTCAAAAATAAACCCTAAACATGGCAGATGAAACACGATTGAATCAAAAGCTCCTAAAACCCCACTACAACGACTGTAGAGGGATAAAAAAGGTATAAGTCCACAAGGAGGAAAAGAACAGGAGAAGTATTTGTCAGCAGACAAAAGACGTCAAAAATTTAAGGCTGGAAAGCAGATCACAGATGAGTGATAACCAAGGAGAAGGAGAAAGCTGAAACCTAAGTCAGGAGATGGGAAAGACTCCTGGACACTTCAGAGAACAGCTTTGAAGGCTGTGCACAGGGCAAGAGCACAGGATTGCTCGCCAGTGGGACCCCCAGATGGATCCGCTTCCCCAGCCTGGAAGAGGAAAGATTCACTTTCCTGGAGTGGTCTGTACAGGAGAGGACAGGGTTGAGTTGCTATTCTGAATACAAGGGGATTAAGTGAACAGTCTACATACTAAATGGTGAGCCCTCCCCTACCCCTGGCCCCTTTCCCTACTCAGATCCCAGAAGGTGGTAGTCAGGCTTATACCACAGGCAAGAGAATGGACCATTTCTCCACAGGGAACCGACCTGTCTAAAAAAAGGCTTACAGAGTCTGACATCGGGGGTTCCCACTGAAAAAGTCAGCTGTATCATCACCACTAAGCCCACTGGACAACAAGGACCACTCATGCAGAATCAGCTTTTCAGACTCTTAAATTTCAGTAGACAAAGGATCATTATACGTGGAAAGCCTCTCAAACATGAGACTGAAACCAAAATAGGGGGAAAAAGTAAGGCAAGGAGAGGGACGATGTAGGCAGCAAAAAGAAAACTTCCAATAGTAGTATCAGACAGACGAGGGGAGCAGATATTGCATCCTATGAAACAAGATCAGTGTGCTGTATAAAAAAGAGCACTCACAGAACAAGAAAAGGCTCTTGGAAATTAGAAATATGATAGCAGAAGAGTTGAACAGATAAAACTGAAAAAAACCTCTGAGAAAGTAGAACAGGGAGATAAAAGAGACAGAAACTAGGAAGACGTCAGTCTGGGGGTTTAACCTCAGACTAACAGAAACCACAGAAAGGGAACCCAGAGGGGATGTCTCCTTCCCAAGACAAAGATGAAACAGAGATTCTCTGATGTGTCTGAACATACCAACAGGAGACTGACTTTTCTGAGAATTCAGGGCTGAATTAGGGATATGTTCTTAGAAAACCAAGCAAACAAAACGACGAAACAATCGCTAACTCTGGCAAACTGAAAAGTTACACAACAAAGAAAATAATCATTGTATAGTCTGTGGTTCAACTATTAACAATATTTAAACATCACAATGTAAACTCTGAATACTGATATAACCAACTGTGATAAAGTATATTGGGAGAACAAGAGAAGGAATATGTGTACGTAAGTTCAGTAGTGGTTGGGGATGGTGGTACTGCATGAGCTAAATTTTCATTTTCTATAGTAATGCCAGTAGATAATGTTGCAAACTGAAATGTCAATAAATAGCAACGTAAGAAATACGGAGGTAAACAGAACTGCTGAAAGAATTAAAAGAAGCTGCCTCAGGGGTGGGGGTGGGTGGGAGGCATATAGTGGCGTTTTTGATATCAACCTTGCAATACTATGTGACTTCTTAAATGATGTACATGCATTACTTTAATAAACACAAAAATGGAATAAAAACAATAAAGTAAAGGATACAACATTTAGTTAGATTTACAGTGAGTTCAGACTCTCCAGGTAGAGGTGGTGTGTGGAAATAACGGTTCCTCGAGGAGCTAGGCATTAAGGGTACTGCTCCAGTAGAGGCCCAGACAGACATGTGGCTCAGGGAGGCACAACAGCCTCACGTACACAGATCCGATGCCTGTGATAACCTGAAGACACTCTTCTGATTCTTTGTCACGTCTGAACTTCGCTTGAAATAAGTGGCTGCTATGTCTAGAAGCATTTCGGTTTTGTAGGGATTTTACTATCACTAGACTTGACCCCAGTGGTCCTGCCCCAGGTCCAGCTGAGGAGTGAGGGGTGTCTGTCTGTAGAGATTGCACTGGGCTCTCAACAATGACTCGTGGGGTGAGAACAAGTCCCAAGATGGGTCCAGAAAACTGATCAAGTTTTACAGCCCATGGCTCAGTACTGAGGGCTGCAACGTACACGAGATGACCCAACACCATGGGGACTGAAATAAGCCAGAGAGTAGTCAGGTGGCCTAAGCATTACAGGGCAGCCTCTCAGGGGTCACTCTGACCAAAGCGGAGAAGCTCCAGGGTTAACTCATTAACTCTCCCAACACCTCAGCGAGGCAGGGACTGCTCCCCTTTTGCAGAGGGGGAAAATGAGGAAGGCAGGTGGGTCTGAGGCCTCCCCACCCTTACGGGAAGAAAGAGTGATGCCTACTTGTAGGGCTGCCTGGCACTCTTCCACCAGGCCCTGGACCAGGTAGTACTTGGCTTCTGCCAGCAGCTCCTCAATCTCCCGGCGGCTCTCGGGCAAGGGGACCGCCCCATCACGAAGGTAGTTGAGTATCGTACCAAAGTGCTTCCCACACCGGTCAATGAGGATCCAGCCTGCAGTGGAAGGAAGAGGACAGGAGGGGCTGCTTACATGGGCACTCCTCTCTTGGAAGGCACTGAGGGAACTGGGGTGTCTCTCGGCTCCCTCCACCTCCCAGGAGAGAGCAGGACCGCAGAGAAGGTTGCAGCCCACCTGCCTAGCTACCAGCAAAAGGCTGACTGGGCCCTGCCAGGGCAGCACTGCCACAGCCTCCAGGCCCTGCTGACTGGAGACAACCACACTCTAGACTCCTCTGGTCTTAAGCTCCTTTGGGCACCAGGGTCCCTGAGGCCTAAGAGCATGTTTCTAAAGTACCCTCAAAAATCCCTTAGACAAGCATATCCCAAGAGGGGCCTAGTGCACCATACGCGGATAAAATGGGTCCAAATGACCACACTCCAGCAATAGGGGAAGGGCTTCTGGGGTAAAAATATCTACTCCCTCTTTGTACAACGCTTTCTTCACACTCCCAAATAACAAAGCCATTTCTAAGGGAGCAGAAGGCTCACTCCCGCAGACCGCGACCTCTGGTTCCCAAGGGTGACCCCCAAACACTCACTAGCACCACCACAGAAGGCCCACCTATAACTCCCCAGCGAGCACTTACGGGCTAATGGCAGCAATCAGAGGTAAAATGGAGACAGGCCCTGCCCTCAAGAAGTTTGGTCTAACACAGGGAGATGGCCCTTACTTTTATTAAACACGGAAAAACGTCTCAACTGCTAACGAGAAGCAGGCCTAGGGAAAAATTTGGGGGGGCGTGGGCCCAGAAGGCACCTCTTCAGCTTCTCCAGTCCTCTCCAACCTCTGCCCCGGCCTGCTATTCCTCCACTAGAGATCTGACGGGTTTTCAAATTCCTCTACCGAAATGCAAATGTCCCTGGGAATAGTATTTGGAGGAAGAAGCTGGACCAGCGCCGGGAAGAGAAGACGGGATGGAAAAGGGACGTAGGAATGGAACAAAGACCAGGTATGTCTCCACAGAAAACGTGAAGCGCTGGAAAGAAGCCAGACAGCTAGCGAAGCCCCGGCCTCCCAGAGCAGCAGGGCAGCCCAGGCAACAGGCTTCCCAGGTCCCGTCCGTCATCCATTACAGGCGAGAGAGCAGCCACGCACACGGCAGTCAGGAGGTCTAAACAGGAACCAGCAATTCTGTGCCCCACTTTCCCACTTCCTTTGCTCACAGATTGGGAGAAGGGGTCACACTTGCACTCCTACCACCACGGTGCCCTGCCCCGAGTCCCCCTCAAACCTCCAGGCCCTGGGCTGGCGGCAGAGGCCAACAAAATCCAAGAGCAGCAAAGGCACCTTTCTGATGTCCAGAGTCACGAGCCTGCTTACCTCCCCCACCCCCATCGTCCCCCAAATCCAGCCCAGCCAAGCGCGCTCTCGTGGTTTTAGTGCACTAGCTGGTACTCTGCAACAAGCACCAGGGGAGTTGATAACAAGGCCAATGCCAAGCTCCCTCCTGCCTGCAACTACCCCTCAGCCCATGGTTCCTGGGCCCTTGGGTAAAGGTCTGATCTTGCCCCTCCAGAACCTTCCTCTTGGCACTTCCACACCGCCATGGTTTCCTGAGTATAGTGGGAAGAATAATCCCCAATCGGGGCAAACGCACGGCCTAGAGTTGAACCCTGTTTCGAGGAAGGAAGAGGCCTTCCCAGGCGTGGTAAATCACACCACGCTGACAGTAACTGCTGGACATTATCCCACTGCTGCTTTCTGCATTTGACACAACAAAGGATGGACTTAGTCTCTGTTATGCAGCTCAGACGCCCACGGGCGCCTTGAGCAAGCAGGATAAACGAGTGCAGGTGGGCCGGGGCTAACCCAGGCTGACCAGAGAGCAGTGTCCCGCTCCCTGGGGGTGGGGGTCTTCCTGCTCCAGGCAAGACGACTGGGCAGGAATGTGGGCCCCGGGCTGCTTGAGCCTCTGCTGTTCTAAGCAAAGCCAGAAATGCAGATTTCTGTGTGAAATCTCTTGATTTTTAAAGAATGGTAAACTATTTTTTCAAAAAATCTGTCATTAACCTACTGTAGGGCAATCAAAACACACCTGCAGGTGGCACCGGACCTGCAGACCACCAGCCTGCAGCCTCTAAGCCACCCTGGATCCAGGGCTTTTCTTCCAGCAAGGTGACAAGTACGGAAAGATCATATTACCTTCCCAACAGTTCTTTCGAGGGAGGCTCATACCCCTGTATTTTCCACAGATTAAAACAGAAGCTCACAGAGGTTCATGACATTCCCAAGTCGGGGAGGCAGGACTAGGCCACTAAAAACAAGTCAGAACCTCATAGGAAAACTTCTTTCACCAGAATTGAGAAGACAAGTAGAACCTCTGTCTTTAAGAGAAATGGCAACCACTTCAACCCAGCTGCTCTGGAAAGAAAACGTCCTGGTTCTGCCTTTGATGCACAGATAACTCAGCTGCTCCGAAAGAGGGAGGGCCCTGAAATCAATTATCCAGTGAAGGTCCAGAGTTTCCGTAAATGAATAAGCGGCCCATGACACCAGGCTCCAGCTCAAGAATGCCGTCAGGAAATGCTTGTGGCGAAGGAATCATACTTTGGACAAATAAGGGCAAAGGAGCCGAGTGCACTCTCCGTGAGGTTTCAATTAGCATTTTGACTTTAAAATATTTTAGTTGCTTTCAAAGCAGGAATCGATCCCTTTGAAACACTCAGCTCAAATGCCTAGCAAGTAGAAAAGTGAACGGAAGTCAAGCAGCTCCTTGCTTGTGGGGAATCTTTCCGGCCGCCACGGAGCACATTTAGGAAGGCTGTCCAAGTCAGGGCAGCCTGGGGTCCGCCGGCCCCTTCAGCAAGAGAACAGGCGGGGCGCAGACAGGGGGCTCTGGGACGGTCTCAGAGACACAGCACAGTGGTTAAGAGCGCCGGCCCATGCTGGAAACCCAGCTCTGTGCCTACTCGCTGGATGACATCGGTGTTTCACTTAACCCTTCTGTCCAGCAGTTTCGTCTTCTAAAAATGATGCCTCATAGGCTCAGCATAAAGGTCTGATAAGAGAATGTACAGGAAGCATATAGCACGATGCCGGCTCTACAGATAGCACTCAAATTAGGTCTCTGCCGATGAGCCCTTCACACACCTCATCACCACTGCTGGAGAGCAAGCAGCAGCAGCAGTGTCCGGGGGTGGCCTGTTCCAGCCCCCGGGAGGGCGTCTGCACGGCTTTCAGGGTACTGGGAGGAGGCTTCTCTGGGAGTCAGGGGGACTGGGCTGCCAGGCTCACCTCCCAGCCCTGCCAGCACACCAGTACTTCCTCTCTCTTCTCCCTCCCTCCCCTCTTCCAGGGAGCTTTCATTGACCTCTCCTCACCACACTCTCTATTTTTGTGGTTCCCAAACTTGCCTGTTCCTAATTCACCTGAAGCACTTGTTACAAATTCAGATTCTAGGAAGCTCCCTCCCTCCTGAATCAGAATCTCCAGGGCAGGGTTTCTCAGCCCCAGCACTACTGACATTTTGGACCAGATGACTGTTATGGAGGGACCATCCTGTGCATCTCAGGGTATGCAGAAGCATCCCTGGCCTCTACCCAGTAGATGCCAGTAGCACTCCCCCGCAAACTGTGACAATCAGAACTGTCTCTGTACATTCCCAAATGTCCCCTGTGGGTCAAAAATCATCCCTGGTTGAGCACCACAGAGACAGATCAAAGAGCTAAATGTTAAAAACAATGTACTAACTTTGAGGTATCAAAAGACACCATTGAAAAGGCTAAGAAAATTCAGATTGGGAGAAAATATTCATAACATAAAACCACAGAGATAGGACCCAGAATATATACTTCTACACAAAGCAATAAGAAAAAAGGAAGAAAATGGGAAAATGTGTAAACAAGATGCTATCGGGCAGCTAAACAATGAAACACAAACGACAAATAAACATAAAAAGATGCTCAACACACTAGAAATTAGGAAATGTTTAATAAAACAACAGAGGACCATATGCTAACCATCAGATTGGCAATAATTAAAAGGCTTGGCAGTGCCCAGTGTTGGCAAAAATTCAGACTGCTATGGGGAATGTAAAGTGACACAACACCTAATCAAGCCCAGGATGCTATCCCCAATTCCCCTCCTGGAAATAAACTCTAGGACAGAGCTCCCAAAGGTTGGTAAGCTCTTAATGCTGCCCCCCTGAGGTGGCTGGCTGGGGTCTTGGAAGCCCAGAGCCTCTTCACTTACTAAAGTAAAAATAGGATTTTCTGGGTGTGCCATGATGTGGCAAAGGTTGGGAAGCACTGCACTGGAGAAACTCACATGCACAGGGAGAGTGTTCAAGAATGAAGATATTCCTAACAGTGAACACTGGAAACTATCTAAATAACCATCAACAGACTATGGATCCATAAAATGCAGTGTATTCCTAGAATGGAACACTCTACCACAGGGAAACGTCTCAACTACAGCTGTCTATTCACAGATTGCTCTCAGCAGTATAATGCTAACTAAAGCAAAAGCAAAAAGGCTACAGACAATATAGCACCATTTACAAAATGTTTGAAACACACCAACGAGACACTGTCAAGGCACATAAACAGTTGTAGTAAAAGTAATTCATGGAAGGATCCACAACAGTGCTTCTCAACCCTGGCTGCACATTAGAATCCCTGGAGAGGTCTTCATGGGCCTCATGCCCCACCACACCCTGCCCAGTCACATTTGGCTCTCTGGGGGGACCCAGCCAGTAGGATTTAGCTCCAAGGGTGACTCATTGTGCAGTCAAGGTTGAAATCTACCTGGTGACCCCAAAGTCGGCCTAGTAGTTACATCTAGAAGGGAGACAGGCAAACAGAGAAGGAAAAGAGAGGCCCCATCAGTCCAGGGAATGTTTTATTCCTTGTCTGAGTGGGGGCACAGGAGAATTTGTTATATTACTCACACTTTAAAAGCTCTCGGCATATTTCCAAATTTTACAAAAGGCAGGAGGCCTGAGATCTCAGGGAAACAGGTCAGCAGAGTTCCCACCTACTATACTGACTTCCCCACGAGTTTTCTAGGGAACGTGTGCTGGTAATAAGATTAATCACTCTTCTTTAATCTCGTTTATATACTCCCTCATTCCAAAAACATTAGCAAGAGACCAGAAATCATTTGAGGGGGGAAAGTACTATAGCAAGCAAGAGGGATGAAGCAGGCAACTACAGGTGAGTGCTGGATGGAACTCTTATTACAAAAGGTGCCACACAAATCCACGGCCAATGGCGACACTGACAAGGGCTCAGCTAAAAAGCCTAGCACTGCAAGAACTGAACCTTTCTGGTGAGGAGTCTGGGAAGGGCCTGCTCACTGCCACAGGGTCCTCTCTTCTCAGAAAAGCCACCCCTGAGGGGGTAATGTGGGACTGCAGCACATTCCTCCCTCAAGGCCAAGGCGGGCCACCTCTCCCCAACAGGCTGCTAAGACCTGCCTCTCCATTGCCCCTCCCAGCCTCTGCCCTCCACCTCCACACCCTGCCCCAGGCAGGACTACAGCAATGAAGAGCCTTCCCATTTCCTGAGTCTCCCAATGCGTCAGGGACTCCATCAAGTGCTTTCAAATGTCCTCAGTTAATCCCCATAACGACCCTGAAAGCATCAGTCACAACTTCGAAGCAAGGAAACAGGCTCAGAGAGAAAGTCACTCGCCTGATGTCACAGCTAACACAGCTCCATAAATGTTAGCTGTGACTGCTACCACGTGACAGAGCAGGACGAAAACTCAGGGCCGTCTCACCCTGACACCCATGTTCTCCTCTGCTTAGGAATTACAAGCACATGGTATGAAACTCAGACAGACAGAAGGGCAGGAAGCACAAGAGAGTCTGCCACCCACCCTGGACCCAGGTCCCCTTCCCAGAAGCAACCAGTTTCTCAGGCATCCTGCAGAGATTTCTAGCAACACAATACATCCACCGTTCTGTACTCGCAGAGCCCTTCTTTAAGCAGCACGCCGTACTGCTGGACTGGCATTTTGGCCTGTTTGTGGCAAGCTTCACTGCAGCTGACAGGCTTCCTGCCTAAGAGCCAGGGTGAAGCTGTGAGATGCAGGAAGGGTGTATTTGAGGCAACATTAGGCCATGGATCAGCCTGTGCAGTGTCCTCATCGGGGGCCAACAGGACTGCTCTACCTGGCACAGTGCTGGCTGGGAGACCAGACACCCAGCCTGACATCCCAGGCCTTCCGGGGCACCAAAAGGCCTTCAGCACTAAACCAGAGGTTGGCCCATAAGGCCGCCACACTCAGGCGACCTGGCCTGGCGGGTGGGCCCACATCAAACCTCAGACAGCAGATGGTAAGAACCACTAAGTCCTGAGTTCAGTAGCTTCACCTTTTCTAGCCTTGCAGCTTTCGAAAAAGCATTTCACCTCTGAGATGTGCATTTCTCACTCACCAAACGGTAACCACAGCACCCATCCCTCAGAAGGTTAAGGTGAGGTTTAAATGAAATAACACCATAAAATGCCATATTGTGAGCTTTTCATAACGCCACGGAGGGGCTGGAGCTCTCAAGAAAGGAAAACAGCCGAGGTCTGGAGTGTCAAAGACAGCACTGCCTCCCGGGGACGCTGGGCTTTCCAGGGAACACCAGGGAAAGGACATCCTCAGCAGCTGTGGAGAAGCCTGAGCAGGCCCACTGGGGGATGTGGAGCCCAAGGACGCTGTCTCTTTTGTGACATGGCATTAGGCCACCAAGGCGAGGCTTTCAAGGAGACGAGGCTTCCACTTTGCTTCCGAAGCGACTCAGCGGCTTTTCCTGAGCCCCACCAGAGACTGGGTAGGGCAGAAGAAAAGCCACAACAATCCCGGGTTCTCAGATAAGGTCTGTTTCCTTCCGCAGCTGGGGTGCTATTGTCTTGATTTCCATAAATACTCCCAGGCAGTGCTGGGTGCAGCACAGCAAAGGGGATCCTCCCACTCATAAAGAAGCTCGGTGTTCTCCGGGTGAGACACAGAAGGCAGCTCTGGGGCTTCCGTCTCATAAACCTGCTGCTGGGCCAGAAATCCGAGTTCATGGGAAGCCCAGGGAAGGGGACCTGCAAGTCCCGCAGCCTGGCCTTCTCCAGGACACAGAAGGCAACACCCCAACTAGTGGAGAGCCCAACCTTCAGCCCTCTGAGGATCGGAGAACGCACTGTACACGCCAGGCTTAGGACCCCCAATCCCACCTACTATGTCAAAACTCACCCACCCTCCCTGGAACACTGTCCTTGGAAAGGCAGGGGCATCAGCACAGAGGCCAGACTCAGGAACAGGTAGGGTAAGGTCAAGCCAGGCTGTGATCTGGCTGGGTCCTAAGTAATCTCGGGTCAAGGAATGAAGGAGGGTGCCATCTTTAAACTTCACATGACCTGCCCCATAAACCCAGCCAGGTAAGGATGGTCCCCTTGCCAGGCGCTCTTTGATTATTCCAAGTAGGTAGGAAGTAGTTAAGGTAAGACCATTTCATTTTATTTTTGTTTTGTTTTGTTTTTTGCTTTTGTGAGGAAGATCAGCCCTGAGCTAACCTCCATGCTAATCCTCCTCTTTTTGCCGAGGAAGACTGGCTCTGAGCTAACATCTATTGCCAATCCTCCTCCTTTTTTTTTCCCCAAAGCCCCAGTAGATAGTTGTATGTCATAGTTGCACATCCCTCTAGTTGCTGTATGTGGGACGTGGCCTCAGCATGGCCGGAGAAGCGGTGGTCGGTGCATGCCTGGGATCCAAACCCGGGCCGCCACCAGCGGAGCGCGCACACTTAACCACTAAGCCACGGGGCCGGCCCACATTTCATTTTATTTTATTTATTTTTTTGTGAGGAAGATTGTCCCTGGGCTAACATCTGTTGCCAATCCTCCTCTTTTTGCTAAGGAAGATTGGCCCTAGGCTAACATCCGTGCCCATCTTCCTCTACTTTATATGTGATGCCGCCACAGCGTGGCTTGACAAGCGGTGCATCAGTCCTCACCCGGGATCCGAACCTGCGAACCCTGGGCCACTGAAGCAGAGAGTGCGAACTTAACCGCTATGCCACTGGGCTGGCCCTGGTAAGACCATTTAAAATAGTTCTTTGCCTTTTACTAACATGACTTTTTCCAAGAGAAAAAAAAAACATGCACTGAATATACATATATTGACTACTTACTATGTGCCAAGAGCCCCATGAGGTGGGTATCATTGGGCTCCTTCGCCAGATGGCTGAACAGGTTAAACAACTTGATTAAGATCACCAGACTAAATGGGCAGCTGTGACTCAAACTCAGGCCTGTGAGTCTCTCTCAAGACCTCACCCTAGAAGGACAAGGGTCCAAAGAAAACGCTCATGTTGCTCTCACACTTGAGTCTCACTCTGAAGTCACAGAATCATAGCTTAGAAAACTGGAAGGAAATCAACGAGGAGCTAGTCCAGCCTCCATTTTAGGAAGCTGAGGCCTGGAGTGGGGAAGGGACTTTCTCCAAGTCACACAGCAAATCAACAACCAAGTCAAGACTATGAGTCCCTGTCTGGCTGACTCCTACCCATCTTCAGGTCTCAGTTTATTTTTTTTTATAATTTTTATTTATTTTTATTTTTTCCCCCAAAGCCCCAGTAGATAGTTGTATGTCATAGCTGCACATCCTTCTAGTTGCTGTATGTGGGACGCGGCCTCAGCATGGCCAGAGAAGCGGTGTGTTAGTGCGCGTCCAGGATCCGAACCCGGGCCGTCAGCAGCGGAGCGCGCGGACTTAACCGCCAAGCCACAGGGCCGGCCCCAAGGTCTCAGTTTAAATGTCACTTCCTCAGGGAAGCCCTCCTTGACCACACCCCCCAGATTAGACCCAGTCTCTCAAGGCTCCCTGCACACGGTGATAACACTGAGCACAAGAGGAAACCCATCCCTGCATGTACAATTGCCCATTTAATGTTGGTCTTCTGAACTAGATCGAAGCCCTCAACCACAAGCACGTCCCCAGTGTCTGGAGGGCGGGCTTACCTTCACTGTCGGTGAGCACTTCCATGCGCCCGCTGAACATGGCCTTCAGCATCGTGTCCTGCTTGGTCAGCGTCTGCATGGTGGTGTAGTAGAGGGCTCCGCCCACGTTCAGCTTCACGTACTTGGAGCTGGGGCTTGTGCCCTTGAAGGAAGTGGTGCGGGTAGCAGCTGCTGGCACCGCTGAGCTCACCACACTTTCTCCTGACATCTCTTCCTGCCAGGGGAGAAGACACAGGGCACCAGGCCTGAAACACCTTTTAGCCAGTTGCCTGAATCTGGCCTCCAGATGTGTTCTGCTTTAGTCCAAGTATATACTGCATTTAAAAGTCTGCTCCCAACAGTGACAACTCAGGAGAATTCACAGAAAAATCTGGACTTCTGGCTTCTCTTAGAATCAGAGGCCAACTGGGCCAGCAGGGCAACAACTTGTGGGAGCTGGGGTATTGGCTGCCCCAAACTCTGTCCAGACAGCCTCATACACTGACCTCACCTGCTGACCCTGTAGGCGCAAGTGTGCCACTAATTCTTGTGTTACAAGGACTTCCTTTGTGCCTGCTACTCATTTACATGAACACCCTGCCTGCATTCTAAAGCAGCCTAAGACACTGCCCAGGTCTCTGTTTCTTATTGTCATGCACCGCTGAACAACTAAAAAAGTGCCACCTTTCAGGTGAATTACAGGTGAAATAAGCTTTTATGAAGTTGAGTGGGATCCCAATTACCATTCCCAATACTTCCTATAAGGAAAAAATGTTTCTGAGGACTAAACAGACATCAGAACTCTTGGAAGCAAGTTATTGCAAAATTAGAGACTTCCTGTACCAGCACCGCCCCAAACAGCAAGAGCCGATGACATCTTCCTAACAGCACTGCCAGCTCTCGGGTAGATCTCAAAGAAACAGACGTGTCTGATTTAAGCAGGGGTAGCAAAGGAGACAAGCACCTGGCACACGTGTACTCAAAGAAAACATTTCTTGAATAGGTAAAATGCTAGAGCTGGAGAAGATGTCCAAGAGTGGGCTGACTCTTTACTGAATCTGGGCACAGCAGTGAGAAAGCAGCCCCTGACAGCAGGGACCTGGCCTGGCACTCACATCTGGGTCCATCTGGGCCTTGGTGTTCCCACTGAACGCGAACAATTTCACAGCACATCACCGCCAGACAAGGCCACTCAGGGGCTGACTGATCAAGACACAAATAAGACCGCTCCATAATTATGTCTGAACACCGATGAAAACAAGAACATCGTCCAAAACATAAAAATGAGCAAATATGCCTGTATCCTGGCTACTATGAGTCACTGTTGGTTCTTTACCAATTACAGCTTTAGCCCCATTCCATTCTTCCCGCCTTCAAAATTGGGATTACTGAGACCCAATCACAGCATTAGCCCTGCTTCCTGACAGCCTCCAACGCAGAGCGAAGCCCCTCTTCCCTGAATCCTCCCCAAAATCACCCAATGCAAGCCCAAATCCTCTGAGATGCCCCATATCCACCGGTAATAGCAGAGGCAATGGCCAACCCTCTTGATCTTCATCCTCCCAAAAGAGGGGCCTGGAGATCACCCACTGGGGCACTGGTGTTCCAGCCCTGCAGAGTGACACAGAGGAAGAACGGCCTCCTAGAAACAAAAGTGTTTTCTCAAGAAACTGTTCCTGCGTCATCAAGTGAAAACGTCAGAAGAAGGTAACTTTTCAAAAGCTCAGGATTAGCTCACCTGGAGTCTCTGTGGCCTGACACCAAACATACAAGAAAGAGGCCAAGAGAAGCAGCAGCGACCCCGCTCTTCCAGCTTTCCTGTGAAATCAGTCCCCAGAGACCCGACACTAACAGTTATCACTAACCATTTCCCCCAGAAAAACTCTGTCCATAGGATGATAGAAGCAGCTTATGCGAATGAGGAGTTTCTAAAAACTCTGAAGACCTGGAAAGGAAACAAAGGGCTTATAGTTGGGGTTTTTTTTTTTTTTGGGGGGGGGGTTAGTTAAGGAAATTTGCCCCAAAATGGAAATACTTTTTAAAGTACCCTTTGAGATCTAAATTTACACAAAAATAAATGTTTTTGGGAAATGGCGGAACATTTTTTAAGGCACCTACCGTAAGACAGAGAAAAAAGTCATCAAGTATATATTTTGTTCTTTTTTTTGCTTTCCAATACCTTTTTAAAGATAATTTGCATACAATAAAGTGTATTTTAAGTGTAGAGTTGGATGAGTTTTGGTCAATATATGCATCTGTGTAGCCCCCACTCCAATGAAGATAGAGAACATTTCCATGGCCCCAGAAAGCCCCTCCAGGCCCCTTTCCTACTCCTCCCACCTGGAAGATACCCTTGTTTTAATTTCTACCACCACGTACGACCATTTAAAAATCCGAACAATGCTGGAAGACAGCTATTGTTCTTTCCACTTTGTGGATTCAGATACCATGACCCACAGAAGTTCAGTCACTTCCCAAAGTGAGTTGGGACAGAGCAAGTGAAGGACGTGGGCAAGTCCTGGCTGGCCTGGAGCCCATGATTTTATCACCAGGAGCCCATGATTTTATCAATGGTCATGCTTGGTATATATAGAGCTATGACATAAAAACTGAGACAGGAGGGACCCACTCTCCTTCTTTAGAAAGTTCAAAAAAGCTCTGAAAAAAGATGGGAGGCAATGTGTGGCTAAGGGCTTGAGTTTAGAAGTCAGAAAGCCCCCAGCCCTGCCATTTACCAGCTGTGGGAGTCCGGACAAGTCGTGTGAGTCTAGTCCCGTCTATCAAATGGGGAGGACAGCCGCACCTTCCTCCCAGGGCTGCTGTGAGGGACACCACAGAGAGCACTCAGCACAGCGCCTGGCGCAGAGCAAACACTCAAACACGAAGCACTCAAACCTATGATTATTTGAGAATGCTCTCCAAGTCTCAAATTATCTTCTCTTCGGAGATCATTTCCAGCTCTACTGACATCCAACAGAATTACTACAAGGTAAAGGCAGAACCACCCTGATCTAGCTTGAGACTCCAGAACAAAGAAAGCTCTGAACCTCTCAGGAGCCCACTCTTTCAAAGGTCAGTCTCCTCAAGACTAGAAGAGGCCCTTGGAAAAAGCGTTCTGGCTGTGTTCACGTCCCTGAGCCCGAGTTACAGTGAGCTGAGGACACAAAGCAGTAGACAAGAAGCCTCTCACAGCAAACCTCTCTACGGAGGACTCCCCAGCCATCACCACTGGGATCCTGCTTTTTAACTTGTTTCAAAGGTTTGATTTCATTATTAATGAGGTTGGGGAGGTGGGGCAGGAGAGAGCAAAACTGGTTACAACAAACAGAGAGGTAATTAATACCAGAGGTATTGGTTACTGTTTCTATTCAATCAGAAAAGAAGTCTATTCCAGTTAGATGGATAACTCAAGGCTTCTCTCTTTTCCATCTCCCCTGAGTATACAGTGGCCCTCCACTTGGTGGCACGTCAGAATCCCCTGGGGAGCTTAAGAAAATACTGATGCCTGGGTCCTACCCATGGAAATCCTCATGTAACTGGTCTGGGAGTGTCGCATGGGCAACAGAACTTTTAAAACTCCCCCAGGTAATTCCAATATGCAGCCAAAATTGCAACCCACTGTTCTAGAAAGTTCTGTATGCCTTAATTAGGCTACAATTAACTGCATGATCTTGGAGAAGCTCCCCAACCTCTTGCTCTATTGGCCCAGTGAATTCCTGACTATGCATAAAAACAAACCAGAGCATCATAAACAAAAGCAAGCCCCTACTTCACAGCTTCAGAGCCACAGACAGGAAGCAACTGCACACATGCTTGAAAAATAAAAGTCAGCTGGAGGGGGACTGTTGACTTGAAAGGAGACCCAGGCAAGTACAACAGGAAAAAAGGCACCAAATCCCTCTCCCGTAGATGTTTTCTATACAAATCGCTGTAGACCTGTCTCGTGTGTGTGTGTGTGTGTGTGTGTGTGTTGGGGGAAGTGTATGTGTGGAAGGTTTGATGGGGAGCTCGGCAAAGCTGGACTGCAGTCCCAGGTCCACCCCTTCCTGTGTGATGCTCACACAAGTGGTTTAACCCAGTCTCAGTTTCTTAACTTGCAAAATGAAGTCAAAGCCATAATCTTCCTAATAACCCTCAGGGAACGAATGTTAAAGTACTTGGCACCCGGTCCTTAGTGTAGTTTCCCTTCTGCCCCTCAAGCTTTCCTTAAGAACAGAGGTTCCCAGCCCTGGCTGTACTAGAACCACCTGGGCCTGCTTAAAAAGTACTGATGCCTGTGCCAGCCCCATGGCCTAGTGGTTCAGTTTAGTTCCGCACACTCCACTTTGACAGCAGGGGTTCAGTTCCCCGGCGTGAACCTACACCACTCCTCAGTGACCATGCTGTGGCGGCGACCCACAGACAAAACACAGGAGGACTGGCACAGATGTCAGCTCAGGGCAAATCTTCCTCAGCCAAAAAAAAAAAAAAAAAGTAGTACTGATGCCTGGACTTTACCCCAGAACAAGTAATCAAATTGGGGAGGGGAGGGGCGTGGCAGCTCAGCAACTAGTTTAAAAAGCTCTTCAGGTGATATTAATGTGTGGCCAGAGCAGAGCCACAAAGCTAAGGTGTTTGTTTAACCAGCTAGATCTAAGAGTCACTGCCTTGAGCTAATTGTAAATCTTGCCCAAACTGAGGGCATTTCTACAACTCAGAAAAGTCTGCTGTCACCCCGCCACATAACTGTATCATTATTTTGCATCCAAGACTTACTTAAAGGACAGCTACTGCCATTTCCAAGTGTTCTGCTGAACTCCCTTCCCTTCCTGTGTTTAGCACACTAACTATTGGCCTATTTCTCTCAATGGTCTAGCGAGGAAAAGGTTATCATCAATCCCACTTTTTAGGGGAGAAAATTAAGAATCAAAACTATTAGGGTCCTCTGACTCCCACTCTCAGGCCGCTGTCATTACACAGCCCAAATCAAGAAATCATTCCTCTAATCCCCTGCAGGGCTTGTTAAAACAGATTGCTGGGCCCCACCCCCAGACTGATTCAGTGGTCTGTGGCAGGGCTTGAAAAGTTGGCCCCTTCTAACAAGATCCCAGGTGATGCTGCTGGTTTGGGGACCCCAGTTTGAGAACCACTGGTTTGTGCCTTTTTCTCCTCAGGTGATCCTTCTATTGCACAAAATGGAGCAGACCAAAGTCAGATACAGGTTGATCAATTTTTCTTTAGCAGCGTCCTTGGGACTGATCTTCCCTAAAGACTGCACTTTCTAGGGAAGAGACGGGGCAAACAAGTAAAAAGAGGGTCTGGACTGAATTTTGGTCATTCCCACCCAGGGACAAAGAGCTATTCAAGGAACAGACCCTTGAAGGAGTCCAAGCACACAGAAACCTTCCTTCCCACAGCTGGGAGACACCCTGTGAAACATCCCCAGCTCCTTAGGTGTGGCCACCTTGGGCCTCAAGGGAAGTGACTAGATAGGTACCCAGGCGCCAGTTAAGGAGCTGGACTCCGTGGTGAAGACACCCTGACCTCCAGCCCCTGGCACGCCCCGCGGAGTTCCAAGCACCGAACGCACACCCTCTCGCCGGCTCGCTGTTTCTTTCCTCCACTCGCCCAGGTGTTCAGACGCACCTGGAAGCCCCTTCCCCACTTCCCCGCTTTCCCGAAACCCAGAGACTCCAGCCGTAACTCCCCCCAAACACCAAACGCTCCGCCCCAAGGAATCCCACTTCTCCCTCTCATAACCTACCCATTCTCCTTCACAACCTCCACTAAATCCTCATCCCCCCGCCCCCCGGTCCTCATTTTCCACCTCAAATGTTCGTCTCAATGAATCTCTTTGTTCTCTTCAGAATCACCAATTCCCATTTCCAACAACCTCTCAAGGTTGGAACCTCTAAGAGACCGCCCTCCATACTCACCCACACACGTATCTACTCCCCAGGCCCCAATGCCCTTTCCCGCATCCCCCACAGCCAGGGATCCTCCCAATTCTGCACCCAAAGCCCTTCCCCCACCCCGGCCTCGCCCCCAACCAATCCCCCCACCGCCTCTCCCCTACGGCGACAGCTCCTCCTCGCGCCCCCTCCTCTCGGTCCCTGCCCCCTCTCCTCTGCCTCTGCCCCGCTCTCTCGGCCGCCCAGAGCCCCCAGTCGGGGCCACCGCCCTCCTTACCATGAAAAGTCGGAGGACGCCGGAGTCTCCAAGCCCGGACTGAGAGAGGCAGGAAACACCCAGCTCGCGTGAGCCGGGGGCGGAGGCGGGGCCGGGGCGGGCACTTCCGCTGTCCGCAGAGGGCGCCCCACTTCCGCCCCGCAGAGGGCACCTTCCTAAAGGGTCCGTGGTGCGCCTCGACGTCGGTCGCTTTGCTTCCAACCTCGGCTGCCGGGACGGGTTGTAACTCCTCTTGGCTGGGTCAGGGATTTATCCTGCTCCTGAATGCTCCGCCTTTTCAGCTTCCAGAGAGGAGGACAGGTGCGGGGACGTTTTCCTTCCCCGGGCGAAGAAACTCTGCGGAACTGTCGTTTCCCGGAACTGGATGGTTGCTTCCCGGCGGAGCTCTCAGAGCTAACACCCCGGGGCAAGATGGCGGTCGGGCTTCGGCCGCTGCCCCGGGTCTGGCAGAGCTCCGGGGTATTGGGCTGAGCCGGCGGTAGCTGTGGCGCCCACCCCGTGCGCGGGGGCCTGGAGCGGATAAAGGTCTACGGCCTGCGGGTAGCGAGTGGGAACAGGGTCGTGGCTTCTTCAGGTGGTGGGGCCGGGGACTTTGCGGGAGGTGGCCCTGGGGCCCGTCCCTGATTCTCCTGGTCGGAGGGGCAGGTACTGGGGGCTGGCTTTCGGGCTCCAAGGGGTCTCTCCGTGGCCTTTTCCACCACTTCTCATGTCTGGGGCGATAGGCCTTTGTAAACGGACTAATGCTGGGTGAAAAAAATGTGTTATTGTGGTTGTCGGAGGAAAGACGCTGGCCTCAGGAGTTCAGATCCTATTCACTCACTGTGTGATATGCGGTGGCTCCCCTCACCTCTCTGAGCCTCAGTTTCCTCCTCTGTAAAATGGAGTAATTAGCTCATTTCACAGAGGGTGTTGTGTAATACAAGTTTTGGTACCGTGCTTGACGCTCAGTTCTCAATAAAGGCAGCTGGTGTTAATGGTATCAATAAAGAAAAACTTGGTCATAATTTGACTCTGACCTAGCCCCACCGGCGGCTTTGCGTTCTCAGCTTTTCTTTGCCGTTCTGTAGGTGGGGGAGTCCCTGGATCTTGTCTGTTTCACTTAAAATAAATAATTGTTCTGGAGTTAGGCATGGGTTCAAATTCAGGAGTCTAGTGACCTCTGACAAGTCATGTCCCCTCTCTACATTTCATTTTCTCTGTGTGAAGCTGGGATTGATAACGCATCCATTATAGTAGCCTTCCATGAATGATAGCTATTATTGTTAATAGTCTAAGTTTTGATGCCTATTCTTAAAATATTAGACTATTGAGGCCTGATAGTATTGTTGGTTAAATATCTGTAAAGTGTCTGATACATGATCTGCCCTTAAGGAATGGTGGTGGTCGTTAAACCTGGCTGCCCAGCTATTCCCCCCATACGGGGAGAATCCTTTTGGGCTCAGTCAGCAGTTGGTATTTATGGTGCTTCGTCTTTGGACAATATTCTGGACTGTCGTGTTTTTTCATAGTTCTCCGTAAAGTTGGCCTCATCCAGAAAAGACTGATTTTGAGCAGGTTTTGTGAGAATACAGAAATAGAGAAGAGGTTGAGTCCTGTCTCTTAGTATTAAAATCTTGGCTCTGCCCCTTACTAGTGGTCTCACGTGGACTGTGGGAGATACTAAATGATCTCACAGGGTTGCTGTTCTTGTTAGATGAGATCACATAGAAAGGATTTGACACATAGTGGATACTCAGTCAATATGTTTTCCATTTGCTTTTCAGGTGACCTTGGTTATCACCCACTTCTTGTTTTTTAATCTTTCCACCTATATCATTGTTGTTTCCCTAACTGGATTGTAAGCTTCTTGATGACAATACAGTAGGCTCACTTACATGCTCTCTGCTTTCAGATACTCCTTATTAATATTTTCCCATTTAATCCTAATCACGGTGTCATGATGACTAAATTGAGGTATAAGAGGCGTAAGTATTTCATTTAATCCTTTTATTGACCCTAGGATGTAGGTACTATTATTATCCTCAATTTACAGGTAAGGAAACTGAGGCCTAGAGAAGATAAGTAACTTGGCCAAATGATGTAGAGTTGGAGCTAAAAAGAGCCAATCTGGATCATAACTTTGATCCAAGGCTTTTTCTACTACACACAGCCTCTTTGATTCTCCGTGGCGTTTAGCAGAGTAAGTACTTACGACACATCATGAAGTATTTATTTGATTGATGAACTGTAGTAGACACTAGGCAGGTAGAGGAGGTGAATAAAAAAGAATTAGAAAAACTGCCAAGTATAGACTGTTATATGGTGTAAACAGAAACCAACATATAGGGGGCCAGCCCGGTGGCTTAGTGGTTAAGTGTGCGCGCTCCGCTACTGGCGGCCCGGGTTCGGATCCCGGGTGCGCACCAACACACTGCTTGTCGGGCCATGCTGAGGTGGCGTCCCACATACAGCAACTAGAAGGATGTGCAACTATGACATACAACTATCTACTGGGACTTTGGGGAGAAAAAGGGGAAAAAAAAAAGGAGGAGGATCGGCAATAGATGTTAGCTCAGGGCCGGCCTTCCTCAGCAAAAAGAGGAGGATTGGCATGGATGTTAGCTCAGGGCTGATCTTCCTCACACACAAAAATAAATAAATAAATAGAAACCAACAGATAGCATTGCTGAGGGGATGATAATCTCAAGGAAGAGATCTTAACCTGCAAGGCCCCCTCGGAGAACTTCAAGTTTTGAGATAGTCTTAGAGTACTTAGTCACGGATTGCGTGCAGCCTCCTCATTTTCCATTGGGAAGAGGCTCCCTTTTCTCTGCCCTCCTGCCCCCCAAATGAGCAACTGTTTACATGTTGAGGAAAGAGCGTACCATTGTGCTCATGGCTTGGGCCCTCCTCATTTGCAGCTCTCAGAAGCTTGAAGCTGTTACCCAATCTAAACAGGGCCAAGAGTTCATAGTCCAAGTGACAGGACTGGTGATTCCTCGTGTATCCAGGGGTAGGAAGAAATTCAATGAATGCGGAGTGTAAGGGTCCCAGCATTATTTCCTACCCAAAGAACCTTAGTGACTGTACATATGGGAGCCTCTGCTGAAGAGTTTAAAAAAAGAAAATCTTTGTGTTTATAAAAATAATCCATCAATCAGATGTGTTGACTCGGCACCCTGTCAGCTACCTCAGTAGGTACTTGATGTACATCATCTCATTTAGTCCTCGTGATCGGCCTCTGAACCAATTAACAGATGAAGGCAGAAGGGCTCTGAGACGTCTCCCTGCAGTACATGGCAGAGCCAGGGACTGGCTCCAGCTCCCGGTGACTCCAAAGCACGTGTGCCTCTCACAGTGCCAAGTCACCTCACCACGGGCTTTCTATGGAACATTTAGAAGACAGACTAGTTAAGGAAGCAAAATTTCCCACAATTCCACTACCTCTAAACAGCCATTCTTAACATCTTGGTGTATTTTTTCCCAGTTTTGTATCTATGTGTGCACATGCATTTTTCTTTTTCATTATATAATTGGGATCATGCTGGTTCACAGCCAGCCCTTTTTTCATTTCTTAGGCGTAAACATTCTTCTGTATCATTAAAAATGTCAAACATGATTTTCAGTGGCTTTTTAACGCCCCATCCCCTGTGTTATTCTTGCTTGCTATCACAAAGCATGTACAGCTTTAATTCAACAACTTCTTTGGAATTATTTTCAACATATTCCCTTTGAACTGTGAGGACTGGGGAGATACAGTCTAATATTTAGATTGGACAGTGACTAAAGAGGAGACAGTGTTGTTTTTTTAAAACCAAAGTCACTGTTTTTATTAGTTTTACTCAAGGAGGAAGATGTATGATGCCCTACTTATAAAACTTAACCTTAAATCTGGACTTGTTTTCTTCTGTCTCTGACAGAAAAGACAAGCTCCTCTGAAGCGAGAAGCTGCCCTCAGCTGTGAGTCCTGTGCAAGATCACTAATGATTACCTGGCATTTCTGCATCACAGGCGGGTCCTCAGGTGAGTCTCCAGACTTCCACTGCTGGGGCAGAAAGTGTAAATGATTCAGAAGGCAGTTAGCTTTTTCTCTCCTGTCTTCTTACTCTCCCTTCTGTAGTCAGGAGGGCTACATTAATTTGTTTTGAGAATTTCTGATGAGAGACCCACATGTTAGAAAAGGCTTGTTGTTTAACAGATGTGAATCAGTGTTGAAAAGGGGCCATAGAAGTCCCCCAATATGTTGACATGGGAAGAGCCTCATGTGAGCTTTTTATTCTTGATGATGTTTTCATGTGGGCACTGCTTTGAGTGAAGTAACCTAATAAAGAGATTGTTTTCAAGAAGTCTGGATTTCTGAATAATTCATTTCAGTCCTTTTGTCTGCTGGGCTGATTAGGTATTTTGGATAGAATGACAAAGTTATCAAGCATCTAAAGAAGTCATCTCAGTATAGGAGGCTCCGTGGACCAGTGCTGTGTGCTCTAGGCTGATAGCCAAAACCATCTTTTGGGAAAAGACGATTGCTGGTGATTTAGATAAAAATATAATGGATAATTGAGAGCCTCTGTCCAAAATGTGCCAGTCAGTGGATGGGAGCAGTTCTGCTCTGAAGTGTTCATCAGGCCTTGGCAGGACGGGGACAGTAAGGACAACATTACAAGTTATACATAAAACAAAAAGTATTCAAGTTAGTGGGTTGTCTTGCATTCTGGAATCATGTGCCTTTGGCTTCTGTAGTGTTAAAATGGCCCTTTTTTGAAAAATGAAAGGCGTCTTTTGTGCTGGACACAACATAGATACCAGTAAATATTTGTTGACTGAACGGATAAATAAAATAATGGTGACAGTAAATAATCATGTTTGATATTTTCCTTCAGATCTTTACTTGGCAAAGTAAAAGTTGACTGCTCAGTTTTGGCATCTGAAATGTTGTGGACTATTCCAGAAAATGCAAATATCTAGGAAACTTTGACTTAGAGGATGCCTGGTTTGACTTAGAGCTTTGTGGATGAAATCGATTTGTGCTTTGTTCATTAGCGATTACAGAGCCTGTACCTGATGCCAGGTTCTGTGCTCTTTCTCCTAAGAAAATGTAATTATTTAATACAGGAAAAAGCATTGCTGGTCTTGGTGCGTTGCATGAAAGGAGCTGATAGGAAGTTGGGACTTGTGCCAGGAGAGCTATTAGCTCTTTGGAAGGTGCTGGAGGGTCCTGAGTAGCTCTCTGCTGCCACCGAAGTCCCTGCCCGCCCTTGGCTCGTGAACTCCTTTCTGTGTGTTTTTCACATAATGACCTACACTAGCCACTCGCCATTGTTCTTGCAGGGTTTGTGTGAGTTTGCAAACATGTTCACCGTTTCTCAGACCTCGAGAGCATGGTTCATCGATAGAGCCCGTCAGGCTCGTGAGGAAAGGCTTGTGCAGAAGGAGCGGGAGCGGGCAGCCGTGGAGATTCAGGCCCACGTCCGGAGTTTTCTCTGTCGGCGTCGACTGAGGAGAGAAATCAGGTGGGTACCAAGAACCCCTCTGTACGTTTTCTCTTGCTCCCAATTAATAGCAAGAAAGGATTGCATTTTTCACTTACAGTTCTTAAAAAGCCGTCCAGCTGCCATGAGCTCCTAATTAAAAATGCCTTTTTTTACCCTTCCCTCCTTAGGAGAGAGATTGATGAGTTTTTTACGGCAGATGACTCGGGGTCCAGTAAAAGAAGTGCACTTTGTATTTTTAAGATTGCCAGGAAACTGCTGTTCTTGTTCAGAATTAAAGAGGATAATGAGGTAAAATAATAATAGGAAACATACATCGTGCTTACTATCTGCCAGGTCTTTTTGTAAGTATTTTATGAATATTAACTCATTTAGTCCTTACAGCACCTCTGTGAGATAGGTTCTGTTACCCCTACATTCTGCCCGTTTTGTTTCCGTGGGATGTGTTTTATAGGGATTATGTCCAGTGCTTCTGGAAATCGTCACAATTCTTTTCACATTGCATATTACAAGCACTTGGACTCAGATGCATACAGGAGTCAGGCAGGTTAGGCAAATGAGTGAAAGAAGCCATTTATGAGACAAAACATAATACAAGTCATAATAAATGGTAACTGACAGGTGGTAGTGGGGAGGACATCAGAGGGAGTCATGGGGTCTGTGGTTTGCCCATCCAGGGCTGCTGCTGCTTGGGTCCAGTCAGTGATGGACTGATACTCTGATTTTGTAAAGAGATGCTGGAGATCTTTACGCTCAGTTTTCTAATTTGTGAAAATTGGTAGCTAATTTGAAATGTCTTTTAAAATCTGCAAACCAAACAAAACATGCCAGTTGTACCTTTGGGATTAGAATGATCAGCCTAGAAGATACAATGCCAGGGAAGCAGCTAGTTACCTGTAAAGTACTAACAATACCATTGAGGAGTGACTCTGTCACCAGGGGTTAGGCATTCTATTGCTGAGCTTCACATTGTGCCAGACCTGGGCACTGGGGCCCCAGAAGGAAACAAGATGGACAACGTCTCTAGCCTCATGGAGCCTGTAGCCCAGTAGGAGAGAGAGTAGTGTGCTGGCACACGGTCAGGTAGATGAGGACAGGCAGGCACAGTGAGGTGACCCCTGTTTACAGAAGAGGAAACTGCAGCTCAGTGTGGTGGAGGGCCACCCAGGGCCACACCACTTTTAAGGGTGGATCCAGGGTTGGTAAAGCCAGAGTGTAACCCGGTTTCCAGTTTCCACTTTTCTTCCTTTTGCATTGCAAGATAAAAGTGATGATATGACAGTTTGTGAGGGGAAAGTCAGTGTCCATGGTACTTACGAAATGGCAGACAGGAGAGCATGGTTTAGGAGACAGCTGCTCGTCTGCAGAAAACCAAGCCCAGTTCACCAGATTGATTTGTTTTTCAAAAGGAACCCCAATCTAAACACATGCGTAGGGCCTACCCAGCCTGTGGGCCACCAGTGTGAGGGCCTTTCTTTAGCCTTTGTGATCCTCAGTTTCCACATCTGTGAGAAGGCATTAAGTATGATCACGTATGTGAGTCACCTGACATAATGCCTACACATGCCAAGTGCCCACTGAACATTTGCTTCTTTCCCATTTCTCCATTAGTTGTGAGAATTTATAACCCCCGTTCTGCCTCTTTGCAGAGATTTGAGAAGTTGTGTCGCTGCATCCTGAGCAGCATGGATGCTGAGAACGAACCCAAGGTAAGTGGGATGGGAGCTGGAAAGTCTCCCACAAGCTCTCAAGCCAGCCTATTTGGCTCCGAAAGATCCTGTTGAATGTTATGACTGTTAATTCACACACATACACAAATAAGTAATGGATCAAAAATACTAACAAAGTACAACTGATTACCTTAGTCTCTTTGTTATCCAGGAAGCTGTTCTGCTCTTGCCTCTTACTCAGAATGGTCAATTCCCATACTAGGCTATTTTATCTTTAGCTTTAGTGTTAAAATAAGTCCTCTTTGCTTGTTATTCATCCACTCATCCCCACTGCCTTATCTGGCACTGGACCTAGCTGAATGGTCCCATTCCAGTAGCTAGAACATAATTACATAATGTAATTTGATCCCTGTAACTACCCATTACATTTCTATTTTGTCTGCTTGTAGGTGTGGTATGTGTCCCTGGCTCTTTCCAAGGATCTCACCCTCCTATGGATTAAACAGATCAAAGACATTCTGTGGTATTGCTGCCAGTGTCTTCAGCAGCTCAAGGTAAAAAAAGACAACAACAACAAAAACCATAAATATATCCTTCCTATTTGAGGCCTTTAGAATATGTTTTCAGAGTCCTCGTGGTTCCCTCATAGGTGTACCTTTGGGGATCTATCAGTCAGAATCCAGTGAGGAATTATTAGAGCCCATGTCCTAGGAGAGAACAAGTTCGATACTGTTATCAATATGAGCCCTTCTTTCGTGTACAGTATTTTGTTTTTTGTTTCTTTTTGAGGAATATCAACCCTGAGCTAACATCCATGCCAATCCTCCTCTTTTTGCTGAGGAAGACCGGCTCTGAGCTAACATCTATTGCCAATCCTCCTCCTTTTTTTCCCCCAAAGCCCCAGTAGATAGTTGTATGTCATAGTTGCACATCCTTCTAGTTGCTGTATGTGGGACACGGCCTCAGCATGGCCGGAGAAGCGGTGCGTCGGTGCGCGCCCGGGATCCGAACCCGGGCCGCCAGTAGCGGAGCGTGCGCGCTTAACCACTAAGCCACGGGGCTGGCCCAACATGTACAGTATTTTGAACATTGACCTGCACTTACTGCAGTCTTGATGCCAGGGAATTTGTTGTCTTCCTTTCTATTCTTTTGATATAAAGGGTACTTTATAGTTTATGTTATTATGCTATTCAGGCCTCCTGTTACAAGTGCAGAAACCCAGCATGAGTGCAGCTAGTAATACCTACAAGCTAAGCAAGAAAGAGACTATTTTGTTATAGAATAGGCAGCTGGGGATGACTAGAGCCAGGGGTTTCTGGATTCCCCCTCTCATTCCTTTCTCTCGTCTCTGCTCCCTCTGGGGATCACTGTGTCCTCTCCTGCTGTAATCATGGTAGCCAGAAGTTCTGGCCTCACATTCTTAATCTGTCTTGACCAATGAGAAAAGGGAGGCCTCCCTGACCAGTTCAAATGTTTGGGAGGACTCGTAAAGGTTCAGTGGGATCATGGTCTCAAGTCTGAACTGGTCACAGTAGCAAGAGGGATGGGGTACTGCCACTGGCGCAGCCTGGTCCAGTACCCACCCTTGTGTTACGAGAAGGTGGGCAGGGGTGTGAGGAGTTGCAAACAGCAGCCATTTCCACTTTGCACCTAGGGAGGAAGAAGTTTCAGGGGCAGAGGCTTGGCAAGGACTCAGGAAGCAGCTGAGCGATGGAGCAGATGTCCCCAGAGCCCCTAGTTATCCATTCCCCGCCATCTCTCTTGAGATTGTCTCGGGAATGGCTCTCTTGGCCTTGACTGCCACCAAGCATGAATTATAGTCATGATTCTGATAATAACCAGTATTACATAGAGTTATCTATGTGCCAGGCACTGTTTTTAGTGCTTTATGTACATTAACCCCTTTATTTCTCACAACCCTATGAAGAAAGCAGTGTTACTATCCCTAGTCAACAGATGAGGAAACTGACGTGCAGAGAGGTTAAGAAATTTACCCAACATCACACAGCTAGTTAAGTGGTGAAGCCAGAAGTCTGAGCCCAGAGTCCCTGTTATGTTCAATTGCATCTCTACTCTGTTGCTCCTGCATACGTACATACATACGTACACGTACAGCAAGCCAGCCCTGGTCGTCTTGTTTGCCAAGAATTCTCAAATCCCATGAGTATTTCGGATTCCATGGTCAAGCACTAGTGTCCTGAAATCGCTGTCATTTAACTGCTAAAGTGGTCATTCCCCAAGAGAAAAAGAATCAAGACTTACTTATAATCCCGACTCACTTATTTGAGCCTGAGTGCACTCGGAAAAGTTGAAAAATGGTTGCTCCATTGTCTGGGACTGGAGGGCGTGTGTCTTAATTTTACTCTCTTTATTGTTTCCAGCCTGAAATTTTACAAGACTCCAGACTTGTCACGCTGTACCTCACAATGCTTGTCACCTTCACAGACACTTCAATGTGGAAAATTCTCCGGGGAAAAGGTTTGTGGGACTTGTTGCAAAATCTTTCCTGAGTAGCATTTCCATAGAGAGCTTGGCGACCTTTTCTCCTTTTTCAGAAGCATTTCCACTGCCACAACCCTCAGGGAAGGCCCTGAAACCTTATAAATGAAGATGCTCTCAGCGTTTTTCATCAGATTGCATTACAGTATCCAAAATATGTTCAGTCTTGTGTGTTATACTCTCTCCCTTCTTGGGATTTGTGTTTTAAGGCACAGTCCCTCTGATCTCATATTTCCCAACTCTCATAGCACCTTAGCCTCCAAGTGATAATATTCCCTTAAGTCTTGTCGTTTCATTTGGAGACTCATTCAGCAGCAAATAATTATTTCACCCATAAAATTTGCATTGTAAAGCTGCCTTCTTCCCTGGATATTGTACTTAGCCTTGGGTGTTTCATATATTCACTTCATTTATGCATTCAACAATAGCCTACTTTGTGCCTGGTGCTGTGCAGACCCTGGAGATGCAGAAAAGGTCGCTTCCCTCAAGGGCTTTTGGTGCTGAACTGCTGCTGTGTGCCCGCCCTTCCTCACAGAACTGAAATAGAAGTCACATATATGTGAATTCAGTCACACGCTGCACAGTGACATTTCGGTCAACAGTGGACTCCATACCCGACAGTGGTCCCGTAAGATTAGTACTGTGCGGCCTCTCCTAGGGGAGAGGAGGCAGCCACGGAGAGCAAAAGTGCCAGGCCCTGCAAGGAAATTAGAAGAGGTGCTACAGGAGCTCAGAGACCGGGAAGTGACTTCTAGCTAGGGAAACGATAGGACCCAGCACCTAAGAGGTGACACTAGAATACCAGAGAGGGGGCATCTCCCTGTAGTCTGGTACCAGACCAAAGGGGAGAGGAAGGCCAGCCAGGGAAAACCATGTTTCCTTGTGGCCGTGGGCCGGGAGCACAATGTCCTGTCCCATGTAAACAGTTCACATATGGCCAGGGGCTTTTTTCTCAGACTCTTTTCTTCATTTAGGTGAGAGTCTTCGACCAGCCATGAACCACATTTGTGCAAATATAATGGGACATCTCAACCAGCATGGATTTTATTCTGTGTTGCAGGTCTGTGACCCCGTCCCCTAATATGTGACCTCATCCT